TCAAATGAGACGGCAACACTGTCTCACACTCTCCCAGACCTCCTCTGCTTCCCCCCTCACAGCACCTGTTACTACCTAACAAGCATATATTTTACATATTGATTACAGCTGCTCCACTCCCACTACAACATCAGCTCTACAAGGGCAGGGATTTCTGTTTCACTCACTGCTGTGTCTCCAGCACCCAGGTCAGTGCCAAGCACTCAGTAAATATTTGTGGAATGAATGGATGACATTTGATTTTTTTCATATTCTCCTTCCCAGTCTCCTTGTCTACAAGATCCTGTTCACTTGTAGGGCAACTAGGACCTACAGCAACATAATGAGTCCTTTAACCTCTTCCAGCCCAGGTTTCCTTATCTCCAAAATCGAAGGGTTGGATTAGATTTTTTATAGTCCTTCCAGCTCTGAAAAGCTGCAGCTGACAAAAGAAAAAAATATGTAATTCTTTATTATGCCAAGTCTGTAATATATTTACTTGATTATACAAACTGCACTTCCTTCAGAATTTTCCAAAGTTAAATCCCCACAGCCGCGCCCCCCACCCAACCCTTAGAATAAGTGGGGTTTGGCTGGAGTTGTGCTACGTGATTTGTAACCTGCACACCAGGTCAACATTAACCTCAAGTGCTGGGATCACTGGTCTTGTAAAATTGACTGAGGCTGGGTTACAGGGAACTAAACCAAATCACATTCAGTTGTTTCTTAAGATCAGAAACACCACCTCTCTTTGTCCCCCTCAATTTAACACTAATTCCTTAGCAGCCCATGCTGTTGATTTTGGGGTTTAGCCAGAGGCCCTCTGGAGAAATAGCATTATGTGTTCCAGGCCAAGAGGAAGGCGCTGGGATGAAAGCGGACCCTGGCATGGTAGCAGACTGTGCCATAGCAGAGCTGGGGGTGAGGGCCCACGTTAGAGGGCTGGGGGTCCTTCAAGGTCATTCTGCCCAGAGCCGGCTAGCCTAATTCTGACTTTGGGGAACCTTAGCACCTTCATTTCTCCATCTGAAGCAGGGATCACATGAGCTCTGATGTTCTACAAAGTGTCCACCCATCTAAATCCCGCCTGGCCATGGTCAGGTCACCAAGGGTATCAGCTAAGGCCACCACACCGACAATGTTCTCTCTTTTTTTTTTTCCTTTTTGAGACAGAGTCTCACTCTGTTGCCCAGGCTGGAAGGCAGTGGCATGATCTCGTCTCACTGCAACCTCTACCTCCTGGGTTCAAGTGATTCTTCTGCCTCAGCCTCCTGAGTAGCAAGGATTACAGGCACACACCACCATGCCCAGCTAATTTTGGTATTTGTTTTTAGTTGAGACGGGATTTCGCCACGTTGGCTAGGCTGGTCTCAAACTCATGACCTCTCAAGTGATCTATCCGCCTCGACCTCCCAAAGTGCTGGGATTACAGGTGTGAGGCACTGCGCCCAGCCCAACAATGTTCTCTTAACGTTTAACATAGAATTCACTTCTCATACTGAACATTAAGTCACTATATAAGTAACAGTGTGTTGGTCTTTCAAAGGATTAGTTTTCATCATAGAATCAATATAAACTTGCCTGTGAGCTCCTCCAGAATATTGCCTTCTTGATAGGCCCCCCAGCCTACAGCACAGTCCCCAGCCCCAAGCAGGCTGCCGTAACACGCGTTAACTGATCCCTTCCCACAGAGAAGCAGGAGGGCGTGGGGATTAAGTGCACGTGTCACAGAAGACTCGGGTAGACATCCTGGCTCTACTGCCTACCTCCACCTAGGCAGCCCTGGGCCTGTAAACCTCTCTGTGCTCAGCTTCCTTGTCTGTAAAGTGGGAATAGTAAGAGTACCTCTTTCATGAGGTTGTTATAAAGATTACATAGAACTAAATGAAGGCTGGGCATGGTGGCTCACATCTGTAATCCCAGCACTTTGGGAGGCCGAGATGGGTGGATCGCTTGAGCTCAAGAGTATGAGACCAGCCTGGGTTAACGTGGTGATAAGTTCTACAAAAGAAATGCCAAAATTAGCCAGGGGTGGTGCTGCCTGCCTGTAGTCCCAGTTACTTGGGAGGCTGAGATGGAAGGATTGCTTGAGCCCAAGAGGTATAGGATGCAGTGAGCAGAGACTGCACTACTGCACTCTAGCCTGAGCAACAGAATGAGACCCTGTCTCAAACAAAAGAAAAATTAATAAATTAATACACATCAATCACTTAGCTCAGAGCCTGACAAGGAACTGTTGACCAAATGGTAGTCACTACTATTAGAAAGTCTTGTTTTTATACCTTAAGCCATACACGACCCCAGGTTTGGGTGGCCCGTCCTGGTATGTATTCCGGTGCCATGGTAGGAACACAGGCTCAGTCACAGAGTATGTGTGATGGAAAGCCTAGACAGCAGCAAGAGCAAATCCATGTCTCACTTGCTACTCTCCCCCTCCTCTGACTGGGCAGGCATCTCTAATCAGTCTCAGCATTCTTCCACTGACTACAGCCTTCAGGGATAATCCTCAATTCAGACCTTCAGGCAGCCACCATGGGAAAACCCGCCTGATCTCCTCTGGTTACAATCACCAGGCAGAGATGATCGTGTAAGAGAGATTCATGCATTAGAAAGTGAGGGCAGACCACATTCCCACCAGACTGACAAGGGGTGGGTGGTGCTTGGTCTCTTCATTCACCCAGTGCTTTGAATAGTGCCTGCCATGCAGGAGACACTTGAACGTCTACTCGTGTGGATAAATCAGCATCTAACCCATCTGAGTTCATAGCACATGGCACTACCAGAGCAGGTGCTTAGTGAAAGTGGGAGGGGCATGGGAGAGGCTGTCTAGACCCTCACTTGGGGACAGCACTGAGGAATGGAGAAGGTACCAGCTTTGACAGGTTCAAGGCCCAACACAGCCACTGACTCATCATATGCCCCTGAGCAGGGCCCTTCCTCCCAAAGGCCCCAATCTCCCCTCTGCACAATGAGACGGTGGTCTAGACCAAATCAAGGCCCCTTCCAGTCCTGATATACCGATCCAAGAAACACTTCCAGGCACCAGTATGAGGACTGTCACGGCCCCACAGGCCACAGCCTCCTACACTGTTCACACACAAATCCCACTCCTAGGGCCCCAGGAGAGAAACACAAAACGATGGGCAGCTGCTGGCTACATGTGCCACCCGCTATGACCACAAGCCCAAGTGCACCATCTCTGTCTGAGCTCTACCTGCTCCTCTCCACACTCCTTGTCCCTGCGTCACTCCCATGTCTTCTTCCATCTCATCTAGTGTCCCCATCCCATAAACACGTACTGAGAGCCTGCTAGGGGCCAGGCCACGGCAGTGAATAAGACAGATGTGTTCCCTGCCTATGGAGCTGGCACTCTGAGAGAGACAGAAAAAAAAGGAACACAGGGAAGGAAATGAAATCACAAATAATGAAAATGAAATAGTTAAAGAGCTATGAAAGCCACACACCACAGACTGGGGCGCAGGTCCCTTGATACAGGGGGTCAGGGAAAGCTTCCCTGAGGGTAGAACTGACTCTGATCAGAAAGATGAAAGGGCACTCATCAGAGAAAGAACATTCCAGGTGCAGGGAACAGCAGTTGCAGAGGCTCTCAGGCAGGAGTCAGTGTAGACTGGGGGTTGACAAACTGTAGCCATTTATGGGCATATTTATGTATCACCATGGCTACTTCAGCATTATTCTGGCAGAGCTGAGAAACTGCCACAGAGATCATATGGCCTGCAAAGCATAAAATATTTGCCACACAACACAGGTCTCCAGATTCCATGGACCTCTGGCCTGGTATCATGGCCTCTGTTCCACTAGTCTCCAATCCACCCAACAAATGGACTCCAGCGTGGTATTCCCGAAACACCAAGCCCAGCACATTACTCTCCTGCTCAGAGAATGTCAGTATCTCTCCATGGTTTCTCAAAGTACGGTCCAAGGAACACTTGCTCAATGCAATAAACTTCAATAAAAGGGTCCCATGGTTAAGAAGTCTGAGAAACATGATTCATTCTCTTTCTTTCTCTCTCTCTCTCTTTCTCTCTCTGTCTCTTCTCAAGCACACATATTACCATATTAAAAAATCTGGAAAGTCCCACAGCAAATAAACCTTTTTAATTTTGTCTAACCCACTGTCCTCTAAACTTATTTGGCTACAGAAAGAACCCTTTTGTTCTCACAAAAAAACTCCATTAACATTTTAAAGAACTAGTGTTCCATAGGCACCCGGGCAAATTCTTCTGCTTGGCATTCACAGTCTGACCCTCAGCTCTAACAGGTGACCCTAGGATCGATTATAGACTTATGTATGTGCTCTAGGGAGCCGTCTCTCATCTGTCCCTTACCTTCTTTCTGCCTTCAAAGCCCCAAATAAAGGTCATGTGGCCATTCCAGGCTTGCTCTACCCAACAGAACAGCAGCAACAGCAGCCGCAGCATGGGTGCTGACATCACCAAGTCCTACCTGTGCTACCTGTCATGATGTAAACAGCTTGGACCTATCTGGTATCACCTTGTCCCTTCTTTGCTAAAAACAGTCCAGTCTCTCCCCTCTCCAGCTATCCTTGAGGGTGAGGACAGACTCTCCCACCCCCAACTAGTCAGAGTATCCCATCCCTGCTTTGGCATGACTGGTTCAGAGACATGAGCACACGACACTTGCACATAGGCCAATGAATTCCAGACAAGGATGGAACTGGCTGCCCAGGAGTTCGCCATGCAGCAGCCCAGCTGTGATTCCAGCCCAGGTCTTTCTGCCTAGTCTTATGCTTCATTCTTAAGTTCTCAACTTGAGCAGCCAATGGCCAGTTCAGGAACGAACCATCCTTGGATTCTGGTCCCAGGTACCCACATGGAAAATGCTTTCCATGACCTCACATTCTCTGGGGGAGTCTGGATACTTCTAACGAAGGAGGGCTGGCCTGGACCATCCATCCTTTCAGGGGGAAGGTAAGGACCAGAGAGTGGCAGCTGTTAGTCAAGAAGATCTGAGTGGAGGAGTGGACAAGCGGAGTGTACCTGCTCGCGGTGCTTTTCCTTCCAGCTGCACTGGCTCCGTCAGCCTGCAAAAGAAACCCAAAACACTTACATCAGCCAAGGTGGAAGACACAGAATCAACCCACTGCCACCCGCCAAGCTCCCACTGAATACCAGAAGTGGGGTGAGCTGGCCATAAGCCCCCACTCCACTCCACTCCACTCCTCCAGGCTGGAAAAACATGTACCTAGTGGTAAGAGGGAGTCAGGACACATCCCCACAACCCCATTTGCTTGCCCTTTAAACCCCACTGAGGGCTGGGCATGGTGGCTCACGCCTGTAATCCCAGCACTTTGGAAGGCCGAGGCGGGTGGATCACGAGGTCAAGAGATCAAGACCATCCTGGTCAACATAGTGAAACCCTGTCTCTACTAAAAATACAAAAAATCAGCTGGGCATGGTGGTGTGTGCCTGTAATCCCAGCTACTCAGGAGGCTGAGGCAGGAGAATTGCCTGAACCCAGGAGGCGGAGGTTGTGGTGAGCCAAGATCGCGCCATTGCACTCCAGCCTGGGTAACAAGAGTGAAACTCCATCTCAAAAAAAAAAAAACAACCCCACTGAGCACCCACTGCCAACACAAACTCAGCAACTGCACAGCCCTGGGGACTCAGTGAAAAGTAAGTAACCAGCTAAATCTAAGATTGAATTGCACCATTTTTATTTTCAGCTGGGATTTCCAATAAAACAGCAGCTGTAGATTTATTCCTACCAACCAGAGGAAAAAAATCCTATTATGTTAAAGTATTCTTTCCCCCAACCCTATGAGCAGGAGAAGGCAAGAGAGTGCCAGTTCTTAATCTCTTTTATTTGGGTGTGGGGGGGAGGGGGAGATAAAGCTGACCAAATGAAATTTTCGGAAATCATAAAATTCTGGTTCAGATGCAGAGACTGAGGCCTTGGGTGCAGAGGGAGCTGCCTGAAGTCTCATGAAAACAAACACCAGGGGGTCCCAACTCCTAGACCATTGCTCAGGGGGACCCCAGTGGAGAGGCTGATGGAGGTTGCAGACCTGGGAACAATGCCTAGATTCTCCACCACTGCCAGCTGAAGATGTATTCCTGAGCTTTGCCAAAACACCTCTAATAAGAATCACAGGATAATACAGGTCTGAAATTCACGTGCATATGTGTTTCCAAATTCAGAAGTTTTCCAATTTTAGAAAGGCAATGCACTGCCTATGTTTTATATTTTGAAACAACCCAAGCAGAGCCCCTGTAATCAAGCACATTGATATTTCTGTTGTAAAGCACACGCACAGGTAACCCCACAAAGAATAAATGCCAACAAGACAACAATCACGACCGTAGCCTTTTCTCCCTTCAGGTCAAGTTCTGCTGCCTCATCAGTTACAAAAACTTTTTCAAGTTTTTTTGAATTTCAAGATTGCAGATGAAGGACCAAGGACCTAAAATAAAACACTAGTAGCTCCCTTTTGATGGTGCTTATGAGAAGTTGCAAACTGGCAAAATCAGATGGCAGACTTTGATTCAAACAAATTGGCAATATATTAAAAAAATAAAAGAATTGCACTGAAAAATGGCCAGATCTCCACCTTCTCTTATTAAACTGGATGACCCTGTGCAGTCCTACATGGTGACAGGCAGCTAGAGCTGACATACTTGCTTCTCCAGTCTCTACCCCTCCCTCTTACCTTATAATAACCCAGTCCCTGTCTGGTCCCAGTGGGCATCCACACTAGCTCCCCATGGAGAACTTCCCATTAGGCACTAGGATATGAACATTCATGCCTTCTCTCATTTAATCTTCACCATAGGTCCTCCCTTCCACCCTATAATATCCCCATTTTACAGGCAGGAATACAGAAGGTAAAAAAATTTTTGTATCAAAAGTCCCACAGCTATAAGCTCAGGTCTGGGTCACCCCAAAGTCCACCTTCCTCAGTTCGGGAACATTTTACTTCCCACCAACATTCAGGAGAGCCAACTGGGAAATAGGGTGATGTCAAACAGCCCCTATTTCCCACACAAGGGAAAGGGAAAGGTTAAGGACTAATAGGGAAGAAGAAATGTGAGGTCTGGAAGGGAGAAATTAATGAGCTGCCAATGCATTATTTCAATAGGAGAAACAAGAAAGCAGAAAACGGTCTGCATATCATTTCACTGGGAGCAGAAGAACAGATCAATTACAGCCTCTTTCCGACATCTTGCATTCCTCAAAACTTGTATGCGAAGCAAAAAGGCTGAAGTTGTTTTAATGTCTGTATCATAAGCAGCAGAAGTGGTACGGGTGGAAATGCTGCCCCAGAGAGCTTAAAAAAATGGTCAACTCCCAAATGGATCTCTCGCCTTTCAGACTTAATTCTGTGCGTGTATTTTTGCATTTCACACACACTTTTAAAGTTGTCATTTTTGTCCTTTTGCTTCACAATTTCACAGAGTTGACCAGCTCAAGTGCAACAAAACACACGACAGAGTGTGGGAAAAGAGTCACTGTTTTCAGTACGCCTCATAACCTCCACCTTTGTTTCTCTTTTATTGGGTGAATGACACTTGGCTTCGTGTTACTGGTAGCTGCACGAAGTTCTGTTTTCCACGCATTTATATAAAACAAAGAGAAAGTGCTAAAAATATTCAAAGAGTTGTCAAATACTTTCACAGAGACTCAGGTGGTGGTGCTGGGGCAACTAGAGGAAGGAGTTCTACCTGGACAGGGTGTGGGATATTCAGATGGTGGCGAATGAGTTGCTTCACTGGGTTACAGATGGACAATGGATTCAGTGGGAGATGTCCAGGACACATGTGTCAGTATCACAGCACATGGCAGTCACAGCATGTGGGCCTGGCCGAGTCCAGCTACACCATGACAACAGAGCCAAAGCCCACTGTGTTGGGAGCACCAACTCCCAGGGTGGAGATCCATCTATGCCAGGCCAGTTTGGTCTGTGTCCTTACAAATACACTATAGCCATTCCTTCCATGTGGAATAAGCTGAACCTCTGACGTTGCCATTTGCCAAGGCCAAAATGTTCTAACACCAGCAATTTCATATGATTCCATCTAAATGACAAGCTCATCAGTACCCTGTGTAATCTGACCTGATTCTCAATATGAGCTGAAGCTTAAGAGCACAGCGTTTAGAGTCAGATGGTCTGAGTTCAAGCCCTGGTTTAGCCGTTTTCTAGCTCTGTGATGCAATCCCAAGGCCTCAATTTCTTCATCAGCAAAATGGCAAGATGCTAATCACAGGACCTACCTCACGGGACTGGCTTGAGACTCAAGAAAAATAAGGTAAAACATGTAATAGCATGTAGAGGTACTTAGTGATTGCTTGGCCATAATAATTAAAATAATCATTGATAACCCTATAGTTATAGAGGCCACTATTTACTGGGGCTAGGAAACTGAGGCGCAGAAAACCAAAATGATACGTATACGACGAAGGAGTCACAGAGCCAGCCTGGACTGGACCATGGGTCTTCTGCCCAAAGGCCTTCCCCGAATCCTAAGTTGCAAGAGGGCATATCTCATGAGTGGCCACCAGACCACCACAGCCTGAAGGCCTTCTCCAATGGTCCAGTCAGAATGACAATAAAGCCAGTCAAGCAGCCCTGGCATATGTAGTAATCCCTCAAGTAATGGAAACTCCCACTGCAGCTACTGTTGCTCCATCATCTCCTGCCACTGGACTATGAGCTCCTAAAGGACGTAGCTTGTTGCCTTGGCTCTGAGTCTCATTTTGAACCTTAGACAAGCTCTTTCCTTTCTCTGGACCTGAGGTTCTCCATAGGTAAAAAATGGGGGATGAGGGAAGAAGGTTAAATCAGATCATCTCCCCTGTCCCTTCCATCTCCCTCATTCCATGTTGAGCAGACCCAACCTTAACCAGACCCCTCTATGGCAAACAAAATAAGGAGGACCCCAGGTAGATCCTCCTTCTCACTCTCATGAAGCTGGAGTAAAGGCCTCCAGCCTTTACCAAGCCCTCCAGCCCCACATAAGGGTGCCTGTCCCCCCTTCCCAGCCCCACCCATTCCTTATTCACCAGCTTCATCAGGACCTGGGCAAGGCTATTTTTGGTTTTATTCAACCCTCCCCTTCCCTCCCAAATGAATGTGAAGTTGTTCTTTTCCATTCTCTTATTAAGGGTTTTCTTGGAAAGAAAATATTATTCCAAACCCAGAAATTTTATTTCTAAATTTGTGCAAATGTAAGTTGTAAGACATTAGCTGCATTTCACATTTTGTGCAAATGGCAGAAACAGGCAATTCGTGTGCTCCAGGATGGGGGCTGGCCAACGATTTCGATAAAATAAACCCTTTTTTAATTTAAATGCTAATGCACTGAATTAAAATTTAATAACTGAGGAAATTGAAAAGCCGAGCAGGAATATTGGAAATAAATCCAAGCAGAAACAGCTGAAATTAAAAATTCTAGAGAGTGGGAGGATAGCAGCTAAGCTGTCTTATATGATTACATTTTTTTTTTCAGAATGAAGCAAAAAAAAAAAAAAATCCTATCTCTCGCTGGCTCTAGGGCAGTAAATCCACAGTGCTGTGATTTATTGCTCAATTTTCCTGAGGGAAAAAGGCTTTCTTTCATGCTGAAATATTTCATAAATTTCAAGCCAGCATAAATTCTTAATTTAAAAGTTATGGAGGTCACATTTAGTGCACTGGTACGGTTCCAAAATCTTAAAGAAATAGCAGCGACCAAAAAAAAAAAAAAGCAAAAAGGAGGGGTAGAATTTGCTCTTTTCTTTTTTCCTTTTTTTCATTTTGGTTTTAATTCACACAAGTTGAAATTTCATTATTAAAGATTCCTCCTGGATGGATAGAACCCAAGCACGTGGGGAACCGGTGTGTGTTTGGAAAAAACCTGCTGCAAAAGATGAAGAGATAAAGATTTAATTCAATTATAAAATGGCATTTTTTTTTTAAGCCACTTGAGGAATTTCTGGTAAAAATTTCCTCCCTTCATTGCCCGGGAAGGGGTGAGGGTGGGGGAGGTGGCCAATGTAATTGCTTCTTTTAGATCTCCGATCTTTTGTGCACACTGATATATTCAT